CACACAGGAAGGAAGACAGAGACCTGCTATTCATTACATTGAAAAAAGCTGTTAACTAACACCTTGACTACATTAACACAGTAATGCTTCTGCAGAGCAAAGCAGCTAGTGATTCTGAGCAACCCGATCAGGACTGGAAAAGGAAAATTTTCCAGATGATGGAAGTTCAGTCATGGGAAAAATAAATAAAGTTCTCTAGGAAGCATGACTTGGGGGACAATTCTTCTTTCAAAACCTAGACTAGATATACTTAATCACTGCCATAGATAGGGAGCTCATTGTTACACCTTTAGGCAGAGGTCACATTATAGTAAGTACAGCACGAACACAGAGCACCACAAATTCTTCCTGCAGCAAGTACAGAAAGGCTAAGGTGGGAGTCAAAAGACATACACCTGGGCTGGTTGTGTTTTCTAAACAGAAGAGTGTTTTTGGACACAAACTGAGTTTTTAAGAGCATTCTCAGGATTGGAGACCAGGATAGATTTTGGCAAACTTGGTCTGACTGAGGAAGAGTGAGAACTGCAGAGACATTTTTGTGTTCATTTCTAGTTATGAAGCTTAAGAGTTTGGCTTTTACTTCTCCAGATGGGAAAGACAGACTGGTTTCTAGCCAAATTTTAGTAATTTTCTCCACTTAACGGATTTGGCAGTTTGAGCAGTTTGAATATACTCAATTCAGCTAAACAAACCAATATATTCTGAGAAAAAGATGCCCAGCAAAATATCCATAAGCCATTTATCAGCTCCTTCAGATTTGTCTAACATACCAATTCCTAGAGAATATTTACATTGTTTTTCTGTTCTTAAGTTTAGTTTTGATAACAACCAAATTATAGCTTTTCTCTCTTTCTGAAGTTGTTCTCTTTATTCCAAGATCTTAATTATGTCTTCCTACATCACCATTCCTCTGCTTACTGGTGCATTCTGCCTTTCATTAATACACACCTCCAGCTGAGCTGAATGAAATCAAGGAGGAACCAGATGCATGGATAGCAGGTTGTCTGCAACTTAGTTTTTATACTAATGTAATCACACCTGCTACATGAAGCTTTTAATGAACATGAACAGATAACAGTTGCAGGATATGGCCCACAGACTCCTCTCAGTGCCTGCAGCTTGCCAGGAATGGCATTCCCACATAGTGGAGATGCCTACAGTTGTTTTCATGATGCCCACAATGGCTGCATATAGCAGTACTCACTCCACGATGGATTCTCTGCATTTGTTCCTCTAATGAAAGCCACCTGTGATTCAGTCATGATGATTTGATTCATACATTGTAATTTTCTCCCACCCAAGCCACACTTTGTCACTGTGGTTGTTTCACAACTGTTATGGCCAAGGGCAAAATGACAGCAGTAGGCTCATTTCCCAGCATCACCTCTCCCAACACCACCAGCTTACCCTGCAGGGCAACAGGCTTCACAGCTCTGCAGTCAGCTCTCACCATCTTATCTGTCAGGTTCTGGAAAGGCTTTAATGTGAAAACAGGCGATAGCTGTAATGAAAAAGAATGTTTTATACTCTTCAACTGAACCCCTCTGGCCAATACTATGAGCGGCATTCTTTACTCACATGCCACCAGGGTGGAGATTGCCTTCTCTGGGAAGCCACCTCTGAAGCTCCTGCTTCCTGTGAACTGCAAGAGGAGCCAGACACCCACAGCAGCTGATACAGAAATTGCTTTAAATCAGATGACTTCCACAGCTTCTTTGTCTTCAAGAAAACTGTCCAGCTGTCAGTCTTGTTCTTTTCTAATAATCTTATGGTTTTGACCATTGAACAAGCTGAAATTATCTCCATAATGAGAAATCATAATTTTTAGGATAGCAAAAGAAACACATGAGCCAGATCCTGGAGTGAATTTCTTGTGGGAATTCTGAGCAAAGCACCTAGGTGGTCCTCGTCTCTTGCAGCATTGCCCACTAAGGCTTTACATGGCAGCAAGCATTACATTTGTATAAAAAATAAGTTACAAGGATAATTTTCTTTTCAGTTATCTAGAAAATTCAGGATAATAACATAAATAAATCAGTCAAGCAAATCTCTCTTCAAAGTAGATTGTGTATAAATTTAAACTAGTAACTCATTTTGGCCATTTGCTACACATACTTCTTCATCCTTTAATCACTTTATCAAACAGAGAGCTTCATTTTTGTAGTCAATATCCATTTTTATGAGAGCTCATTATCATAGAATCATAGAATTTAAGGGTTGGAATGGACCTTACAGATCATCTAGTCCTAACCCCTGCCATGGGCAGGGACACCTCCTCACTAGATCAGGTTGCTCAAGGTCTTATCCAGCCTGGCCCTGAACACTGCCAGGGTTGGGGCAGCCACCACATCCCTGGGCAACCTGTGCCAGTGTCTCACCACCTTTATAGTAAAAAACTTTTTTCTAATGTCTAACCTAAACTTCCCCTCCTTCAATTTGAACCCATTACCCCTTGTCCTATCATTGCAGTTCCTAACACAGAGTCCCTCTCTGGCTCCCTTGTAGCCCTTTCAGATACTGAAAAGTTGCTATGAGGTCTCCATGCAGTCTTCTCTTGTCCAGGCTGAACAGTCCCAACTCCCTCAGCCTGTCTTCACAGGAGAGATGCTCCAGTCCTCTTATCAACTTCGTGGCCTCCTCTGGACTTGCTCCAACAGTTCCATGTCCTTCTTGTGTTGAGGACACCAGAACTGCATAGAGTATTCCAGGTGGGGGTCTTATGAGAGCAGAGTAGAGGGGAAGAATCACCTCTTTTGACCTGCTTCACTGGCACCTTTGCTTTTAGAGTTTATGGAAGCTTAGACCTCTCATATCCACATCTCCTAGCAATTCCCTTTGCTTGCCATTTTCTGTTGCTTTTCTACACAAAAATTTGTATGAAGTCTGCCTCATCTGAGAAGTGCAAGAGAAGCCAGTTACTACTAAAACTAAAACAAGTTTCCCAGACTCCTCAGAGTTTCAGCTTCAGAGCTTGGGGAGACTGTAAGGCTGTTCACTGACACTATTCACAAACTGATTCACTTTGGCTCTTCTGGGCTACTCCATAAACTTACTTTTCCACATCAGACCATTTTTAGCATGGAAAATTTCAGCTTTAATTCTGGGCTGCTTACTACTAGCCTACTCTCAAAACCTGACCATTTCTATCACCAGTATGTGGAACTCATACCTGATTTCATAGTTCTACCTACAGAAAAACCTAGTAAGACTTTGTACGAGTATTGCCATGGCCATGTATTTGAGTTGAACTATTCTTACCTGCCAAAAAAAAAAGTAGATTATTTTAATTTAATTTTGTTTAAACTGCTACTTGTAAATCTCCAAGAAGGCCTCAATTTCCTTTTTGCACTCTTTATGGAAAAGCAGCTTCTTCAGTCACAGGAACCAAGTGGGCCAAGTTCTCTCTGTGAACATTTCATGGAGTTTAGACTTGTCTGAAGGACAAACATGAGGATGAATTGAACTCACAGGCTGTATAAACCAAGAGTTATATTCCAGTCTTGAGTCACTGCACTACCAAAAAACCCTCTATGACCTTGAACTTTTATATTAAATTTATCTGGAAGACAAGTCATATAAAATTTACCCTCAAGCTTTTAAAGCTCCCTGCCTAAAGGTAAAGTCTCCTTTTATTCCATAGACCAGGAAATTTTGTCAAAATCTTTCACCAAGGTCACAGAACACTAACCTTATGCCCTACAGCCAGAAAAGCACCTAAGAGGCATCTCATGACTTGATACTTCAAGGACAAGTGCAAGTGATCGGTGACACAGATTACTTCAGCAGAAACTCAAATATCTTATACATGTGGTTTCAGCAACGTACAGCAATACCAGTGATTTGGCAGCCAGAATAGCAACTTTATGTCACTGCCTGATTCAAAAGGAACACAGAACTCAGTAATGCTTTGAGCAAACACAGGCATGACAGTGCTCATTGTAGCAGATAAAGAAAGGACAAACCCAGGGCAGAGAGGACACTCAGCACATCTGTGACTGAGAAGATACAAAGTAATAGAAGTTTCCCGTAAGAATGACAACAGAGATAGGAGAACTGCTCTGATGTCACCAGGGAGGGCAACTGGAAAAGCTGCAACAGAAACACAGAAAGGATGGCATCACAAAGTTTGGGAACTATCATCTTGAAAATCACATAAATGCTTCAAGGTGAGGCTGTAGTGGAGAGTTTACTGCCCATGCACTGAAGACCTTCTGAAAAGATTAGCAATCCTGGGCAAAGTTTGGTTCTGCCAGACAAAAACCTTCTTAAACTAGGCTGAAACAAGAGAGTGATCTCCTTTGGCAACTCTTTATCACAGACTGCACTGGTTTCTGCACCAAATGCCAAACTTAGGTCTTACATCTTGCCTTCTTCTAACATAAGAGGTGACATACATCTACATGGATTTTAAAATTAAACAAAAACTATACCAAAGCAAACAGAAAAACCTCTCCTGAACATGCTTATCCCACTTATGAGGAAACAACCAGCACATGACAGTCACGTTACCTACTGCCACTCCTGGGAAACAATCAAGACACACACACTGCAGTCACCATGTCATGGAGAGAGCAGAACTAGATTTAAGCAAATGATGCAGGTGCTGGCAATAATCTAGCCGTACTGGTATGAACTGCAGCATAACTAATGTGCCCTACTGAAGAGTGGTGATTGCAGCGTAAGAATTTACATGGCGCAAGAACTTACACAGAACAGAAACATTGTGTCTTGGTATTTATGTAACTGCATGATACAGACTGTTTCTTAAAACATCTCTGTGTTCTTCCATAGGAGGAACAGCAAACATATATACAAACACCCCAGTTTAAATGATAATGCTCCCAAAACTCCAAAAATTGTCCCTCTCCATTTTCCAGACTGAACTGGCATGAAGGTAAAGCAGTGCAGCAGAACTTTCAGATCAGTGTTTGAGAAGTTCCTCTCCTCAGCAGTCTTGTGATTTGAGATGCACACAGAACAGAGCACTTTTGAAGTGAGTCTTTAATATTTTAAGAGAATTCTTTATTCAGGGAATGTGCAATAACTCCTTCCAAACTATATGCAAAAATAAACCCCGAAATTCTAATGACGATACAGAAGTTTAAAAAAAAATAAAATTAAAAAAACCCAGCAGTGTTCCAAAATGCATAATTCACAAGTTTAAAATTCAAGCACTCTTGTCCTATGCCTGGAGCTTTCTTAAAATATTAACAATCAAGTCTCTCCGGTAAGTGTATGGGGTATACTTTACTCTGAACCAGTACCTTGGGAAAAGGTTACCACTCGGGGCATACATTTTTGCCCCTTTTTTGCCCATCAAACCACGGAAAATCCTGTTGCGGGCCAAGATTTTATCATAAAATTCAATCCCACCTCTGGCATAGTCTTTGGAAAGCATTGCAGCCTTTCTGTCAGCCTTGCAGTCCAGGTGATGGGTCATAGCATCGTAGGACACGTAATAGAACAGCAGCCCACCCGCAGCAGTTACGATGTTACAAACGCTGCGAAGTACCACGGGGCCAGCAGATAAACCCAGAAGTAGCTTCACAGCTCTCCCACTGAAAAATGTACCAGCTAAGCAAGTTGGAGCCACAACTGCACTTGCTAAAGGGCTGCCGTTCTGCAAATACACAACTTCTCTGGCAAGGACAAACTTCTGAGCTTCAAGTGAAAATGTGAGCGCTTCCTTCAATGCAACACCTTCATTGCTCTCCCAGTCTACTTCCTTGCCATCAATCACAATAACGTGCTTGACTATTCCTGTTTTATCCTCAGCTGTGCCATCAAAGTTAGGTGGGATGCCCACCAAAGAGCCTGCAGGCAGCCAGGGAATTCCAGCACTCACAGGATGGAAGCCAGAAGCTGCAAAGGCTCTGTAGGAGTCAGTGGACTTCACATTAGTATCTTGAAGGACATCCTGAAACACACCACAGAGCCTCTGTGAAAGCTCAGCTGGCTGCCCCTCTGACCAGCACTCGTGCAACAGTTTGAATGTCTGCTCAGGAAACACATGATAGGAAACGTTAGTGCCAAACAGTCCCACGCAAGAAACGGCCAACAAAGTGATCTTGTGCTTCTTTAACCACACAGATGCCTTCCGCAGGAACTGCACTGCCATGGTCAAATCCTAACCTGTTTATGACACAAAACAGGAATTAAAGTGTGCATAAATAGGTGTTGTATCGCTGTAGCATAAAAAAAAAAAAAGGCAAAGCAAAAGACACGAGAAGAAGCAGAGCACAAAAACCAAAGGAACATTCTTTTACATTCACAGAACACAAAACATCTTTACAGAGGAGGTGATATGCATTAATCTTCTGGCCTTGGAACATAAGATGATTGATACAAAGAATTAACTTCTCCCTCTCCTCCAGTAAATCAATTTACCACAATAAAGACAATAGTAAAGCTACCACACTTCCTCTTCCTCCAGCAATCAATAAACACACTGTATTTACCCAACATACTTATCTAGTCCTTGCTACCACAATCCTACTGTTGCCCTCTACTACACAGCCTGTAGATATTGAGGTCAGAAAGAACCAATAATCAGATCAGTCTATGCTAACATCCTCTACAGTACAGCTCCAAAAATTTTAATCAGTGACCTGAATACTAAATTCAGTAACTTGAGTTTGAGTACAACTTCCAACGCATGATCATATTTTGATTTGAAAAATTTCAGGAGACAGAATTTTCCTGTAAGAGTTTGTTCTAATGGATAGTCAACCTCACTATTTAAAAAAAAAAGCAAACCACATGAAACCAAACCAAAAGAAAAAAAATCCAAACCAAACCAGAAAAAAACCAGCATGTGTTTTTTCTAGGTTTTTTTTCAACTTCCAGGCAGTGGTTCTAGCTTACTCAGCAAAAAGCTATTTTCAGAAAGCAGTGGCTACTTCTAAAAATTTGTCTCTGAAATAATTTTTCTGACAAAGAGTATGTGCAATCCAGAGCAGAAACTGGAACCGAAATTGTTTCAGGGCAGACAAGCATGTTGTGACTCTTTAAATAAGCAAACAAACTCAAAAACTTTCAAACCTGCCAAATCCTTCAATTCAAGAGTCCTGAATCCCTTGGGGACCATCAGTTCCTTTTATGGTCCAAGCCACATGTTGTACTCTGCCCAAGAAAGCTCCAATCTCTTTTTAAAAAATTCCATTGGCTACAGAATTCCTCCCTAAGATTACGCTACTATGGAGACATAAAAGTGAATTAGGACCTAAATCCAACAAAAATTAGTAAAAACTGGATGTCCCTGTTTCCATTTGCAGCATCTCTTCTCTGAGGGCTTTAACACATGAGCTTCAGAGAATCTTGCTGCAGCTGTTAAAGACGAGTCTTTCCAGCTGTCCTTACAGGAAGCCGAGGTGGCAGAAGCAAATTGCGCTTTGATACAACAACTGAAGTCTTAGTGTGGAGTACCATCAAAGGTGGGTTTCAGCTATGCTGCTGGGCTTTGTACAGCAGCAGCTGAAACAGAGACATATGCACTCTTCTTCCACTCAGGCTGAACAAGAACTTCCCACAGAGGCGCAGAGTGGACAACTGGGGTCTGTAACATCATCAAACAGCACTATGTGACATGCCAGGATACACCACTCATGATCAACAGCAAACGAGTATTAACCACAGGGAAACAAAAAGGGATTAATTTAAAGGTGGTATTTTAATGATTGGTTATTACTACTCCTTCCTATGAAGCTCTTTCAGACTGTAAATTCACCAGGGGAAGAATAATCTTGTTTAATGTTTATGCTGCACTGAACACACACTGAGTGCTTAATAAAAACAATGATGCATGTAAGCATACAGTAATTTGACATGTATTTCTTAGTGTAATAACTGGTGGTATTCTTGCATTCTGCTGAAAACTGGAGGTGGTGATTTGTTTGGCAATATTATTTAAGAACAACACGCTAAAGAGCCAGGAGCTTGGATGAAACCAAATTTCAGGAGAATAATAAAGCCTAAAAGCAGAAAATGATAATACTAAAGCCAAGTGACCTCTTTGAAGTTTATGACCTCTTGGCAAATCTGGCATTCTAGATCTGGTTGAAAAGGTCATGCCATTTACAGTGGGAGGGCAGCACTTCTAAGAGGCTGACTGTAGGAAGACTATCACTTGATCCTCACGTGAAGATGAGGCAAGGACTTCCCAAGTTTCTCCTGTTAAGAGTGTCCTCTCATTAGAGCTGGCTAACATCTTAGGAATGCTGCAAGCAG